ATGGAACAAAAATAACACCCAAATGTAATGCACAGAATAAAACAGAGAAAGGGTTTTTAATAAATATTGAATTAATTAAATGATTGCTAGAGACAGGAGGCCATTTAGTCTGAGGATTCGCACAAACAGGATCGACCTTTTGTTCTGAGGATTCAGTAGAGGTAAGAACTAATGGCTGGCTGCTCGCCATCTCTGAACTCTCAGCATTTACCCCTGTATCTGATTCTGGGTTTTTATTATTAAGACCAATTAGAATTTGAGCTACACACCTATGGCCTCTTTATTTTCAAAGAAGTTACTTAGTAATACTTATGGCTTCTCTTTATTGATTTCTTTTTTCCTGTAAAATTACTTACTGGCATTTGTTTAAAAAAATACAAAACACTCAAATAAGATTTTTAAATAAATAATGGCTGGATCTGTTGCTCCTGACAAAACTAAGAGATTTTTTAAAATTGGGGGGGGATTAAGGCTTACTACTTAAGGTAATATTGAAAAGGTAACTGAATGTTAAAAGATACTAAGATACTAAAAATACAAATGACTTACTTATAAATGTATTAGAATACTAACCTGAAGTATAAAGTACCAAAATAGATTTTAAAAAGTAAATACTTCAGTAAATTCAACTTTAGTCATATAGTGAAGGCTTAAGACTTAGCATCTAAAAAATTCAAAGAAAAAATTACACATCAGAAACAGATAAATATTAAGTTCAGTCAATTTTTTAAAGGCTACTGATCCTGTTTGTTTTGTATTATGTATGAACAAGTGATTATATATTAATTACACATTGGTTACATACCACTTGACTTGGATAAACTGTAACCCTGTCAAGTGCTATGATTCGACTTTTGTTTTCAATAAGTGTTATGTCAAACAGGTTAAATAATGTTACTGACTTTATTTTCTTCTCGCATAGCCTGTGAAGGCTGTTGTTTTGCTTTGTTTTGTTTCAGGGGAATGGAGGCCAGAAGACTACTTTGGGTGTCCTTTCTCCTCCGGAGCCACCCACCTTGCTGTCTGTAGACAGGGTCTAGCCCGGGACCAGAGGTTCACTTGTCAGGCTGGGTACTTCCCCCTGGCCCTCCGCAGCACTGACGCCACACACCAGCGCACCATGCTTCCTACGTGAGCACTGATGACATCTCCCCCGCCCTGGGAGAAAGAAATGATCGTGCTCTTCAAAAGACATACTCTTTAACAAGTACATCATTCCACTAGCAAAAAAAGTCCTTCTGATAATCAATATATGACATTGTATACTATATAAACATGTAATATTTTACTGAATACAGAAAAATAACTTCTGTAAATATTCTAACTCAGCTGTTTTGATAGAGAATATTTTTGAAAATTGTAATTTAATAAATTACTGTAAAAATTTCTAAACCAGACATATTCAATGAGAGAAAAGAATTCACAAGACAAAGATGGGGTTTATCTCTGGTTTCAAAGCATAATAATCACAGCCTTCCTAGAAAAATTAAATTCTGTAAAACTTCACTGTCCAGAGCTCCTGAACTAACCTAACCATGACTTCTACCTCCAGTAAGAGACTGCTCAAAACCATGTCTCTAACTGGGAACTCAAGGGAATAATTATTTCCTATTTCTCCCTAGAAACAGAAGTTCTTGACTGCTTTCTGTATAACAGAGAGCCCATTTCAAGAGTAAAAACGAGGAAGTGTCAGGTCCAGAAGAACAGGACGAGAGGCTAACTACAGTGCCTGTTAGCATACTCAAGGGAATGCTGGCCTTCAGCTGCAGTACCTGCCTGTGGCTCCCCTCAGCTCTTAGCACCTCGACCAAACACACACTTGCCCTCTCTAGCTTTCCACTCCTATGTAACATTCTACTTCGGCTGGGTTTTGAGACAGGGACCACTATATGGCCCAGGCTGGCCTCAACCTCCAACGGGCAAGGCCTCCTAACTGCTGAGCATACAGATGTGCAGCCCCACGCCCAGAAAAATGCATTTCTTCAGCCCCAGGTGTTTGATAGCAATGCTATGGAAGCAAATCCTAAGAAAGAAAACTTGTGAATTAATTAAACTTTGGGCCATGTATAACACAAACACTAAACAATGAGGACACGGTGAAGAGTTTTACATTTATAGGGAAAAATCAGCATTTCTTTTTCCAATAGCCTAAACTTCTGGGGACAAGGAACCATATGCACCAAATTGAACCCTGACTGAAGCCTATACTAAAGCAAGTCACTCAACAGCTACTCTCCTGTAGGAGACACGGAATGAAGCATTTCCGCACACTCATTTATTGAGACTATTTTAATAACTCAGGAATGAGTCATACTGTGTATGCACATTACTTCTTAAAATATTAATATATTGGATTTTCTAAATATACTTTTTAATTAATTTTCTTTATTATGGTATTTTAGTTTCATTGGTGTACCTTTGGATTCTGACTGCTCTTATCCTCATGTCCTTACCAACCTGTCCATCCTCCCCTCCCCACAAATCTCCTCTTGCAGTCTTGCCTATTCACTTTGTTCTGTGACCTACAAAGATTAACCAGGGCTAGCTGTGTGACCATGGGCTTGGAGCTGTATGCTAAGAATATGTGTTGCTTTTACTGGTTGATGAATAAAGCTGCTTTGGCCAATGGCAGGGCAGAATATAGCTAGGCAAGAAAGCCAAGCAGAGATACAGGGAGAAAGAAGGCATTTGGGGTTGGGGGGTGAAGATGGCAGCAGCTGCTGGAGGAAAAAGACATCCAAGCATCACCAGAAAGTCACGGACCACATGGCAATACACAAATCAACAGAAATAGGTTAATTTATAAGAGTAAGAGCTAGCCAGTGACAATTCTGAGTCATCAGTCAAACATTTGTAACTAACAAGTGTCTGAGTGCTGATTCAGGAACTGGCGAGCAGGAGAGACGCTGCAGTGACAGAGCTGTCCACTGGAGCCTGGCGGTGCAGCAGAGAGTACACAACAAAGAGAGTGATTCCTCCCTTCCCAGAATCTACTGGAGCCAGGCAAACTCAGCTGCTCCCTTGACTAATTGTTGGCAGTACTGGTCTTGTGTGGGCCCGGTGGAGGAAACAGCAGTTGATGTGGGTTACAATAGCTGTATCCAATGGAGGGAATGGCTTTTTGTAGCCCTTGACCCTATCTTCTGGTTCTTACGGACTTCCTGTCCCACTTCTGAGATGTTTGCTGAGCCTAAAGCGATTTGTTTAGGGTTGGGTCCACATAAGTGGTTGATTTTCTACATCCTGGGCAATCATGAGTCTCTGTGGGCTCCTGTGGTAGTTTCAGTAAGAATGGCCCCCATGGTCTTAAATACTCAGTCACCAGGGAGTAGCACTAATTGAAAGGAGTAGGAGGTGTGGCTTTGTTGGAGGAGTGAAGCCCATGCCAAGCCCAGAGTCTCTCTCTTCCTGCTGCCTTAGGGTCCAGAAAGACTCTGAGCTTCTACATCTGCCTGCATGAGGACGGTGAACCATCCTCTGACACTGTAAGCCAGCCCCAACTAAATGCTTATAAGACATTGTGGTCATAGTGTCTCTGCACAGCAATGGAACACTGACAAAGACAACATCAATGCTCATCGTAAGAAAACACTTCTCTGATTAGGACTAGAAGCCGCTTAAAACAAATATTAATTTTTAGGTCTGTAGAGTCAAATATAATAGAACATATTTGAATTTTAACTAATATTTTTAAAGTTAAACATAGAACACTGTATCCCTGAGAGCTGCAGAACCTAAAAGTCAAGAAGTTTCCTGTATCATCTATTACAAAACAATTCTTCAGTCAACAAAATATTGAACTCATCTTGAATTATTCAGACTGCCTATAACAAAATGAAAAACTTCTCTTAAGTTCGCAAATCCATTTTTTAGTTTGATATTTTAAAAATCTTATCAAATGCCGGGCACTGGTGGTGCACGCCTTTAATCCCAGCACACGGGAGGCAGAGGCAGGCGGATCTCTGTGAGTTTGAGGCCAGCCTGGTCTACAGAGCAAGTTCCAGGACAGCCTCCAAAACAATACAGAGAAACCCTATCTCGGGACAAAACAAAACAACAACAACAACAACAAAAAAAAACACTTATCCCTATCTTGGGAAAACAAACAAACAAACAAAAAAACACTTATCAAATGTGCTCAAAATTTTATCTTTATAAATTTCTCAAAAATTGATAATGAATTAATATATTCCAAATGGTTCAGAAAATTATTCCATAACTAAAAAGATATTCCAAAATTTATTCCAAGAGGATCAAGCTGATGTCTTCTTATAAATCTATGTTCCTTTTTCCTCCTATACCACTCTTTTAAAGTTTTTCCTTTGTTTGATTATAACTTAGTTTATTATATAAGACTGGAATGAAATCTATCAAACTGCCAGGAGCAATGCACAAATTTATATTACAGGTCCCTCTCTTCTGCCTTTCTGTATTGGATTTTGTTTGTTTGTGACTCACTATGCTGCCCAGGAAGGGACCCAGACCTTGGGCTCCAGTAATCATCCTAGAATCCTGGCTGCTGCACACCACTGTGCCCAGCTGTTACACTTTGTTTTTAATCAACATATACGTACTTTCAAAAACGGGAGAAAAACCTATATTCCTATGGCAGTGTTCTTTCCTGAAACTGTAATGTGACAACTGTCTGTGGTAATCAGGTGAAAAGTGATACTGTTTCCTAATCTAACTTTTTTTTTCAGACAAAAAGAAAGTTAGATTAGGAAAGTTGAGGCAATATAGTCAATATAAAATAACTATAAAGATAATTAAAAAACGGGTGTTAAGGCAACAACTTAAAAATTAGGCAAACCTCTTTTCAATTCATTTTTCTGCAATGAAAAGCAGATTCAGTTGTCTAAGGAAGGTCTAATTATATCTGTTTTATAACCCACTTATGTCAATAAGAATATAGAGATATGTGTTTTCAGACAGTTGAGGAATCTCTACCATGGAGAGCACTAGACTAAGTCACAAACATTGCAGACAATGCAGGCCCTCACCGATTTCCGCGGGGAGCTGTTTGATTTTGTTCTCACGGATGCTGAGCGTGCTCAGCTTCGGCAGGTTTTTGATGTCCTTCTCCACAGCAGTGATGCGGTTAAAGCGAAGGTACAGGGTGGTGAGAGAGTCTAGTCTGTACACCACTGCAGGGATCTCTCTCAGTTTATTATGCCGTAAATCAAGCATCCGCAGCTTCTTCAAGTTATCCAGAGAGTCAGGCAAACTAGTGAGTGAGTTCTCACTGAGAGCCAGTGTCATGAGATTTACTAGACAGCCCACCTCTGCTGGAAGGGACTGCAATTTGTTACTGTATAAATAAAGTTCTGTTAGTTGAGTCAACTCTTTAATTGATGGTGGCAGTATATGTATAGACCTCTTGGATAAGTCCAAGCGCATTGAGTTCTCCTCCCGGCATTTGTTAAGCTCTTTAATTACCTCTGCATTGCTGGATTTTTTTTTCTGGTCCCAGGTGCTGGATTTGGCCGTTTGATCGTATTGTCGACTGAAAAGGCCACCCCGGGCTGGGCAGCACTGGAATCCTTCTTTCCATCTTTGGCATCTTTCCCTTTGGTTTTAGGTTCTTTTTCTTTGCTTTCTTTCCCAAAACCTCCAGAGGCTTTTGCCTCTTTTTTCTCTTTCCTTGGCAGATGGCACTTTGGGATCTTTCTCTTTAGAGTCTTTTTCTTTGCCTAAACTACTACTCATGGTGACTCAGGCTTAAACAAAACACTACATGAACTCCTTTTGTTTGCCAGCAATCCAGGTCAAAGATGAAGAGACAAAGATCCTATACAGTCAAAAGAGTGTTGGCATGAAGAAGCAATCAGCTTGGAGTTGCATCCATCTGTTACATGTTGGCTCTAAAAGCACTATGTCCATTCCTGATAACTTGTTCCAAATGGTAAAATGGCGTTGATCAATCAGTGATTCATTAAAATTCCTGAAATACAACACAGACAGCAATAAATTACCTTAGGTTATAACTTACATTATATAAAGTGTCTCCAAGCAGTCACTGGGGAGTATGTAAGTTTCCTTATGTCATATACATTATTCAAGTTCCCTCTCTCAGGAAACACCCCCTGCAAACTACAAAAGCTAGCAGAGCACATAAGATCTCCATCCACAGAACTTACATATGTTAAACGTACTTTAAAGTCCTTGGAATAGTGCTTGTACATAGAAAGCACTCAGTTATCAGCTATTGTGATTTGGCCTAACTCTGAGCTCTCAAAACTTTGTATCATAGTCAACTTGGATTCATTTTTTCTTAAACCTTTTTCTATGAGATTCTAACAGTATCTGAGTTCGAACCTGTTTAAGACTTTAAATCATTTCTTTCAATAACTACCTTTTGTACAAAATGAAGAAAGGTAACCTGCTTTTATGTTTTTCTTATACTCTAGTCACATTATATTACAAAATAAAATGCCTCAATCTGTAACAAGGAGAAAGGCTAGAAGGACAGGGGAAAGGAAGCACTCCACAGTAAAATGCATTCTTAGAGCTCCTCAGAGTGGGAACCAGTGGGTCTCTGTCTTTTGTGCCTTCTCTTGGACTCTTTTCCTTCTATTTGTTTGTTTTGTCCAATTCCAATGTGTTAGTTTTTGCTTTATCTTACATTTTATTATTATCCTTTAGAAGCCTGCTTGTTTTCTAATGAGAGACAGAAAGGGAGTAGCTCCAAATAGGAAGGGGAGGTGAAGAGACAATGGCAGGAATAGAGGGAGGGGAACCATAACTAACATATATTACGTGAGAAAAAATATCTATTTCCAAGAAAAGGAAAAATAACCCAGGTAGCCAAACAAAACAAAACAACCACTTAAAGCAAGTTGTCTTAAATAAAATCAAAAGGATCGTCTTGGACATCAGTTTTCTTTATACTGTAGCACTGAATGGAGTAGTTACAGGATACTGACACTTGTTCCTGGACATCATTAAAAATGCATCTTTAGAAGAGGACCAGCAGGAGAGGATGGAGGGTAAAGAGAGTGAATAGGATTGAAGAACATTACTTATCTATATGAGACTCTCATAATGAAATCATTACTTTCTACGATAAATAAAAGCTAATAAAAAGGGGGAATCTATCATTGGGCCCAATGTGGTGACTTACACCTGTTATGCCAGCACTAGAGAGGCCAAGGCAAGAGGACATGAGTTCAAAATCAGCCTGAACTACACAAGACAACAACAAAAACTTAGTCAGTATAAAAACTATAAAGACCATAATATTTTTTAAAAGCCAGTAGGTCATATGCACTCCCACAACACACACACACACACACACACACACACACCACACACACACCTTCCCACCCTCCCTCCCTCCATGGAGTAATTTCAACTACCTCAACTACAGAATAACCAAAATAAAGTACAGAACAAATAAAGTGAGGTTTGTAAAGGAAAAGGGTACATAGTTCAGGAGAAAGAGTTAAAATAAGCATATTAGTTTATTCTGATGCATGGAGATATTAAGGACTACCTTTGGAAAACAGTGACAAAAAAGTAATCTCCACTGAAAACAGGAGAAATATTCACCTCTGAATGATGATAGCATTAGACTATATAGTCCGAGTAATTTAAATTCCCACAACCAGATACTTGGGAAAAGTAAACAAAATCCAAATAAAGTAAAAAGAAATAGGCAAAAGAAACCCATGAAATCAAAACTAAAAAAAAATTAGACACTCAACTTTTAAAAATGTACAAAAGTGATAAGCATCTGTCAGCTCCGACAAAGGTAAAAACAGGCAAACGACGGATACCACTGAAGAGTTCATATTACAGGGACAACAGCCCTGAAGACAACTCTGTAACCATGTCAGCAACAGGTAAAAATGGAAATCACATGCAGAAAATCTCAAGACTAATCATATCTGAATAACTCTAAATTTAAAAGAAATTGAAAGCATAGTTTTAAGCTTTCTAAAAGAGGAAAACGTCAACCATAGATGTGCCAATGAATTATGAGAAACATCCAAATAAGAATATCAATTCAGGAGCATGCCATGATATCCCAAAGTTCAAAACATTCTACAAAATTTCCTCCAAGAAATAATCATCTGGGGGACAAAGTCCCCTATATCAAAGCTGTACAACTGAGTTAAAGCACAAGCAAGCAGACAGGTCAGTATCTCAATGAACAGCAATCCACAGATCTTCAAGAGCATGACTGAAGAGCAATTTACCTCTGACCACACTTGTTCTATGGAGTTGTGAAAGTCCTTGCAAGACAAAAAGGAATAGGGGAGGGGGAAGGAGAGGGAGCAGGATCACACATACAGAGCAAATATACTTTCTTATGCAAACACAGTTGTCTAACACTGAATGCAACCTCCAGAACTTCCTGTAAAATACTAAATGAGTCCACCTAAGTTCTAGAATAAACTAGAAACAAAAGTTATGCCAAAATTTAAGACATAATTTCATTTGCACTAGCTTGTAAGCTAAAATAAAATAAAACATTTGTGTATAAGTCAACCACAAGCACACAGAACTTGTATGCTTAAAACTACCCAACAGTGGCATAAGCACCAACGAACACGTTAAAACCCTGTCTCAAGCAGGGAGGAAGGTGAAGACTGAGGAGGCTGGCTGCTGGCCTCCGAAAGCACGCTGTGGCAAGTATGGCACTCGCACATGCATGTGTGTATGTGCTGGGACGTAACTCAGAGACAGACCAACACCTAGCATCTGTGCGCCCCAAGGTAGCACTAAATAAAAGGCAAGAAAACCCAACTAAACTCAGTACATTCAGCAATTTTTTCTTCATCTACAAACTTGGTTGTCTAGAAACTTTTCTCTTAGGATTATTTCCTTCTTTTATAAACCTCACACACAGTTTTAACTGTTCCACTGTAATTAATTTAGCAGTTATTAGTTTCAAATTAAAAGGTAAAAGAAGGGAGGGTGGCACTGCTCAATGGTAGAGAGGAACAGCTTAGCATTCATAAGGCCCTGGGTTCAATCCTCATACTGCAAAAAATGAAATAGGTATTTTAAAAAATACTTTACACAAAAATTAACTCAAAATGAACCAAAGGCCTAAATGTAAAAAAAAATAGCTGTAAAGCTTTTAGAAGAAAATTTAGAAAAAATGACTTAAGAGATGGGATTGGGCAGAGTCAAGAGATGACACCAACAAATAACATCCTAGCGAGAGAATACGCCAGTCAAGTTGCTCCCATGTGGCAAGCACTATGTAAGTACTGATGAAAAACTGCCCTGTTTCCTACATCCACGTGCTTACATTCATGTAGGGGGAGAAGTCATCAAAGACCTTTCCAGAACGAGAGAACACATAAGGGCACAAAGAGCCAAGAACACTAAGAAGAGTGAATTGATACATTATATAGCTAAGGATTTTTTTATTAAGCTGTAAGTCCTGAGGGTTTGTTACATTATGATACAAAATCATTTCCCTCAATTTCCCTGTGCTTCGTGTATTTTATCCCTTTCTCTTTCTCTTCATGAGTCCCAGCAAGGATATTTCAAATTCCTAAATCAAGCATTGATGTCCCATACAAAAACTATATAGTTCTTTTATACAAAACAAAATAAAACAAAACAAAAACAAAAACAAAAAAAAGCCTGGTTGCAGCTGTTGCAACTTACAGATGAAACTTTGATGGTGGCAAGTTTCACAAATTGTGGTTAACCTACTAAATGAATAACCCTGAAGCACAGTATTGAGAAAACTGCATGTTATCCATTAAACTGCCAAAACTGATTAAATTGTATCACCAACTTGGAAACATATCAACAACTGAAAATGACTGTTTTTAAAACCAAATACAGATATTAAATATTTATTTTAGACCCACTTTGGGAAATGCCTATTCTAAAAAAAACAAACAAAAAAAAAAAACCAACAGATATACCTACCTACCTCTAGTTCTCATTGTGACCTCTTCTTATCCCAATGCCCCCAAATTCTAAAGTCACTGTTGGAACATTCTTTTACAAAAACACTGGCTACTTTTTGGTTAATCTTTTTTGATGTCAGGGACCAAACCTAAAGGTTACACACATGCTAGAAACTCTACCATTGAACTATCTACATTTCCAGCCCCCAAAGTTCTTACAAACATCTATTAAAGTACACATCAAATATGAAATTAAAATGTTTTATATCTAGGCATCCTTCCTCTCCTTTACCTCCAAGCACATCTGTCCAAATATCGTAATGATACACATATTAAACATTCCCATTTGATTAAAGTGGAGCCATGTCTCAATTTTCAATTTTTATTCAAGATAATGCTTCTCTTTGTTGCTTCTACTAACATTAAACTGTGTTTTCTTCCCAGATAACCACGAGTATATTGTACAGGTGTAGTATAGTAAACCTTACTGAAAATACTTGGGACCAGTAGTGGTTTAAACTTCAGAAGTTTCTGAATTTTGGAAAATTTACACAAACTTTCCCATTTGAGCATCCCTGCTCAAAGCATCTATCTGGAATGGTGGCAATCTAGAGGCAAAGCCAGGCAGATAATTATAAATTCAAGCCCAGTCTGTTCTGCATAGCAAGTGATAAACAAAGCCTAAAATGCAATTTGGAGCATTAGAGAAGTGAAGATGATTAGGGATACTCAAATTCTATAAAGAAAAAGAAGAAAAAGGACTCACTTTTTGCTAGGTTAAAAAGTGAAAATAAAAAATTAATTAACAGAAAGTTACCAAAACTTCCTTGCTATGACTAAAAGAAGCTTAAGAAACTTCTGACTTCACCTTTTGCTCACAAACTGAAAAATTAGTGAGGGGAAAAGGTAAGAAAGTCAAAAATGGGAACACACTCCCTTCCCATTGGCCAAAACCAGAAACACACGAGGACCAAAGCAGTAGATGAGACAAACTCCTTTCAACTTCCAATAGCAAGACCCTCAAGCAATCAGATAGCTAAAGCAACCTCTTATGTAGAGGTAAAAC